TGCTGTCTGTGTTTCTGTACTCTTTGGATTTGCTAATATTATAAATATTTTCATGTTAAAAACTAACACATGGAAAGGTGCTCAACATCACTAGTCATTAGGGAAATGCAAATCAAAACTCCAGGGAGACACCACCTCCCACCCATTAGGATGAGCACTATCAAAAAAGCAGAAAACAAGTGTTGGTGCTGATGGGAAGGAAGTGGAAACTTTGCATACTGTTGGCGGAATAAAAAATGGTGCCGCCACTGTAGAAGACGGTGCGGCAGCTCCTCAAACAATTGAAAAGAGTTACCATGTGATCCAGCAGTTCCACTTCTGGGCATATATCCAAGAGTTGAAAGCACAGTCTCTAAGAGACCCATGATCACAGCAGCATTATTCACAAGAGCTAAAACTGGAAGCAGCCCCTGTGACCGTGCACAGATGAATGGATAAGCAAAATGTGCCCTATACATACAATGGAATATTACTGAGCCTCAAAAAGGAAGGAAGTTCTCACACATGATCCAACATGGATGAACCTTAAGGACATTATGCCAAGTGAAATAAGTCAGTCACAAACAGACAAATGCTCTCTGGTTCCACTTACATGAGGTACTCGGAGTAGTCAAAATCATAAAGACAGAAAGAATGATGGTTGCCGGGTGCTGGTGGGAAGGGGGAATGGGGAATTATTGTTTAGTGGGCATAGAGTTTGAGTCCTACAAGAGGAAAAGAGTTCTGGAGATGGATGGTGGTGATGGTTGTACAACATTGTGGGTATATTTGATGTTACTGAACTGTACACTTAGGAATGGTTAAGATGATAAATCTTATGTGCATTTTACCACAAAAAATTAGGGAAAAATTAATCCAGATATATCAAGAAAATGATATTATGGGGTTTATTTTTTAGTTTCTTTTTTATATATACTTTTTTTAAAAGAAGAAAAACAAAACAAAAAAAAAGAAAAAGAAGGAAATGTATTTTTAAATGAAGTAATCTAAAAGAGAGAAACTCTCCTAATGAATTAGCTCGTGCCCTCCTTGGTGTCTTTCAGCATAGGGGACCCACAGAGAATGCCCACTGAGCACCCGTCATTTAGGGCGCTGGGTAGAACTGCCATCACTTCTCTAAGTTAGCACTTGGCCAGAGAGAACCTCCCACCACCAGCGAATTATTTCATCTCTCCAGAAAGAGGGGAGATGTCTCTTCAATGGCTTTTTTTTTTTTATCTCAGTGAAACTAGCAAGAAGAGGGCTTGGTAAAACCACAGTGCATTTTGAGAAGAAAATTTGAAGTAGATGTGATAAGATAGCACTACCCAGTGTCCTGAGAACTCAGCCTACACAGCACAGAGATGGCCCTAAAGTCACCAGGCTGTGCTGCCACAAGGCACAGCTGGGAGGCAGAGGGTTAGGGTAAGGTTTCACAGTGGAGGTGACCTTCACCTTGTTTTTCGGTCAAGGTAAAGTAAGTCAAGCTCATTTTTTTTTTTTGAGACAGAGTCTCGCTCTGTTGCCTGGGCTAGAGTGAATGCCATGGCATCAGCCTAGCTCACAGCAACCTCAAACTCCTGGGCTCAAGCAATCCTCCTGCCTCAGCCTCCCGAGTAGCTGGGACTACAGGCATGTACCACCATGCCTGGCTAATTTTTTCTATATATTTTTAGCTGTCAAATTAGTTTCTTTCTATTTTTGATAGAGACGGGGTCTCGCTCTTGCTCAGGCTGGTCTCGAACTCCTGAGCTCAAACGATTCGCCCACCTCGGCCTCCCAGAGTGCTAGGATTACAGGCTTGAGCCACCGCGCCCGGCCTCAAGCTCATTTTTAGAAAAAAACAATGTTTTAAAAAGGAGGACACTCCTACCAAGGAGTTATAGACATGGGATTGAAATGACATTTAATCAACTATAAATGACATATAAAACTTTCTTTATATAACATGGGTTTTAGAGTCCAAATGACTGGGTTGGAATCCTGCCTCTGTCACTAATTGGCTTTAGGAACTTGGGCAAGTGATTTCATCTCACCAGGTCTCAGATTTCTGAGTTGCAAAATGGTATAATACTATCCCTTACCTCATAAGGTTGGTGAGATTATTGAATGAGATAATTTGCCGTACTAAAAGTATTCAGTACAGTGCCCGGAACATAGTAAGTGCTCAGTAAGTGTTGGCTATTGCAGGGGTTTCATGTGTTTCTCCTCAGTCTCACGAAACCCTGGGAGGGAGGCGTTACAGTTCTCCTTTCAGAGAAGACACAGCAGCAGACTCAGGTTGCTTAGCTCACCAACACCACACAGCTGAGAAGTGAGGGGCCCAGAATCCTTCCACACAACTCCTGGCTCCTAAGTTTAAGGTGTTTTCCACTAGAGTATAGCTGATAAATTAAACACCAGCCAATTGTTTAACATTTATTTTAAAATGATACAGTGTAACAGCATTTATACAACATTCTTATTATCTTCCTTGCAGTAATCACCTTTTACTGCAATAAGTCAAGGAGTGAGGTTATTCCATCCTTAGAACCATGGAGTTTAGAGGGGTTTCATATTTTCAGGTTACTTAGGGTTCATGATGACATTAAGAAATGAATCCATGAACTACACATATAATATTATTCATATCTGTTATTTTTCTCTTATTGGTAGAACCCAATCAATACCTCTGGAAATGAATCACTCCCGATCAAAAGGTGACAATGACTCCGTATTATTATTTCCTTGTTCTGGGCACTAGATGTCACACTAAGTAAAGTTTTTAGAAGTTACTCTTCAGAATAGGGTGTGGCATAGTGTCTAAGCCTTGTCTATGAAAAATTACAGCTTATACATAAATAGAAAGCCTAACTTTATATTTCTAGGAGAATGCAGTAAAGAGATACTTTGACTAACAAAAAAAAAATCAGAAAAAGAATTGTCAATCAGAAAATATAGTTGGAGTAGCAGCCTCTTTTCACGTCTGGTAAACAGACACATCCCATTTGTGTGCACATAAAAATGGTATTTCCTTCCAGAAACAAAGTGTTTTTTCTAGAGGCAGCTTACGCATACATATTCATGATCATTTGTGTTCTGAGACGGTGAGAAGCTGTTTTTCCCTTCAAAAAGAGACAGGGCCCTAAGCTGCAAGGGGCGGACACGGTGAAAGAGAAGATAACGAATGTGAGGTTTGTTAAACCCTAATCTCGTTAAATGATCTCAGGGAAGGATGTGTGATCATCTTTCTCGTATAACTTAAGCAAAGACGATGAAGCAGATGGTGCCTCCCGGCCTCCTCGAGCTCATTTATCCTTGATTTGGCTCTCAGAAATCTAGGTGAGAATCACGGCTGAGATTTGGACGTACATCATTTCCTTTTGGAAAACATATGTTTTTTTTTTAATGGCAGGGAGTGTGGACTCAGTATGTAGAAGAGTTAGATGATTATATCCTATTTATGGGTTACTGAAACTTCAGTTAAGTTTCCATTGAAATGCTTGGAATTCACTGGAAGCTAGAGAGAATTCAAGTCTTAATTTTAGCAGTTATAGAACATCTTCTGTTTTTTAAGTAACTGCTTAATGAGTCTGGATTGTGTCTAATGATCTGCACATGAGTAGAGAGATATTTCTATATGTAATTAAAGTTGTAGGTAGGGTAAATAATGTTTCTTAAGTTTCAGGGTTTCTGGGTTGTGTATAGTGACAGGTGGTTTCTATTGGATATAATTAGTCCTTATATTTGGTAAACATCAGTGTCTTGTTTATGTTAAGACCCTCTGATAAATAAGGTTACAGCTGATAAAACACTACTCTTTGGGTTTGGGATTCATCTATGTTTTCCTCTTTCTTATTCAGGAGATGGACAACTAACTTGTCATTTTAACAGTGCCTTCTAAGACTAGGTGGTTCTATCTAGCTCTCAAGTCCTACTGTGACTTGGGACTTATTAATACTGCTGCTGCCTTGTGTTTCAACAAGCTGAGGTTGCCCAGGTCCCTAGAGAAAGAAGTCTTCCTAAGGGGACGTGAGCACTGTGACGATGGCAGCCTGTGCTGCTTCTCCTTCAAGAACTCGGATAGCCACTCGGGGACATCAGTAGGCTGTTAATTCCTTCATTGGGTTTGGCAACTCAGAAAAGCTATAGCTCATCATAAGGGTCTCAGAAGGGGAAGAATCTCTCCAGAATGAAATGTAGACAAGGCTCTTTCCCTATCAGGTTAAGGGTTGGAGTTTTCCTGTGTGGGCAGTAAGGTCAGCTCTGTATTCACCCAATAGTTATTGAACACTCACTGTGCCGGGCCCTGGAGAATACAGCTACCGTCCCTGCTAGATGTAGTGAAACCAGTGCCCTTCAGCCTGGCTGACTACTACGAAAGCTTGTTTGGACCATTACTGCTTAAGACAACTATCAGAGTCATTGAGTGACCTTCCTGGTTTCCTCACTGACTTGCCTTCTGATTTGGGGATATGGGCTCCAGACCCTTTGCTCTCCATGCCTGAAGGAATGCCTGCCCCTCGGAAGGAGCATGTTGAGGCTCAGCTGATTTCAATTCAGCCAGTATTAATTGAGCACCTGCAATGTGCCAGGCCTGCAAGGAATGAAAGAATGGATGAGGACTGTGTGCCATGAGAAACTCACACAGGAGTGAAGAGGATAAGACAGGTCCACTATGCAAAGACAGTATCTTAAGTTTGGAACCCCAGGTGGATAGGTAGGTGGCTGAGAAGGAAAAAGGGAACAAGAGAACATCTGGGAGGACTTTACATACATTTATCTCATTTGCTTCTCACAGTAACCCCATGAGGAAACTGAGTCACAGGGAGGCTAGGTAACTTCTCCAAGGTCACTCACCCAGCCAGTGGTGAAGCTGTGCTCATAGCGGAACTGACGTCTGAGAGAGCAGGGATTCCTCTGCTCTTGACCACTTTCTCCCAGTCGAGATGCACATCTACGACTTCTGTAAGATTAGCTAGAGGATCTGCAGACCATGGATTTCTAACGTATCCGTGAACCATATTCTTATTTCCCAACAGGTCACAGATTGACAGCAGTCAAGGAGAAAGCAGGAGCCACCCTACGGATTCATGGTGTAAATTCTGGATCTTCCAAAGGGGCCCAAACTGATACTGAAAACAGAGTCCCTGAAAGTGAGTGACGTGTTTACTTTGGGTACTTTGTTTACTCTCGGACTTGGGCTTTATTATACCATGTGCACGAGTAGAAGGTTTGCAAGTTAAGATCCGCAAAATGAACTCTAAAAGGATTTTTTTTCTCTTTAGTAACAGATGCGACTGCAGATGGGGGCCCTGCAGAAAGCCCACCCACTTCTCCTTCATCAGGTCCTCGGGGCGTGCTGTCAGCCATCACCAGTGTGGTTCAAAACACGGTAAGTCATTAGCTGCTTCCTCTCTTTGCCCGTGTGTTTCCCAGGGCTGCCTTTTGATATTTCTGTTTACCGATGACCTAGATACATCAGAGAAAAGATGGCCTTGCTCATGACTTTGGATTATGGGCTTTTTGATGCTTTCTGCTGCAGAGTAGGAGTAACCTTGTATCCAGAATAGTAAGGGCAAAATGAAATATGTTTTAGGTTTAAAAGAAAGGAGCTGTTTAGTGGAACATTTTTCAGTCTGATTTAACAGTGTCCTTTCTAACTGCAGCAAGGACAGCCTCTGGTTGCAGGGAGAGAGAACTCTTTGTCAGAGCTGGGACAACTGTTTTTCTTAAATGGTCTGTTTCTCTTAACCCTAAATTTGAAAAATCATAAAACCATCAAATAAAAAAGTACGAGTAATGAGTCAGGAATAATAGCTCGGATATGTTTCTAAAGTGTTTCCAGACACAGATCAACATTCTTCCTCCATCCCTACCTCCTAATTCCCACTCTCCCCCAACTCACATCACCCTAAGTTTATCTCCCTGCCTGCCTCTTAAAAGAAGCTTGATACTGACAACAGCACATCGATGAGTAACGCGAGAAGGAAGAAGCACCTCGACTGAGAAGAGGCAGCCTGCTGGTGCTCAGGGTCAAGAGGAAAAGCTTTCTTTTCAACTACACAGAACCAACTAACTAGTTTTTATAAAATATGGTTTGTGTCCCATTTTTCATTCATTTATAAAAACACAAACATGATTAGCCTTCACTATGCGCCAGGAGCTATGCAAACAAGAGGGCACGGTACCCTGGAAGACTGAGCAGCTCGGCAGGTAAACACCGTGCAGCAGGGAAAGAAATGAGGGCTGTGGACAAACGTGAGAGTGTCTTACCCGGACTTTGGGGTCAGGGTATGGCAGACATACAGAAAGCGACTGCTCCTCTCCTTGCTACTTGAGGACCTCTGGACCTGGTGGAGCGAAGGAGCGGCAGCAGGTATGTTTTCCGAGTCAAGTAGCAATTCGAGTCAGGCACCCCACGGAGAGTTTGTAGAATTGGGGATGGGGGAGCTCTTTCAGTGTCTCTGGTATAAGACACGAATTCACAGCCTCTCGGTATAACACGGGGCACTCTGAGTTTGCCTTTGGTATCCTCATGTTCCTTTGTGTGCTTTCTCCAGCCTCCGTGACCCCCTTTTCCCAAGTGCCAGACACCCACCCCCAGGTCTGCCTTAGTAAACGTCCCCATTTTACTTCCTACTAAAGTAACCCCTCGTAGGATGGTAGTAGACACTAAGTCAAATTACACGGAAGTGTGAATTACTGATATCCCACCATCCTCCCAAAGTACATTCCTTTGAAAATCCATTTTACAGCATGATTATTGATCATCTCCCAAATCTGAAAACAAAGTCTGAATGCCCAAGATGGAAGCAACAAATAAAGTATATTAATTCAATGAAATTGAATATTGCTATTTAATGATAATTATGAAAATTGGAAAATGCATATAGTTAATAATATAAAATATAATTTATATATTTTTATGTATGGTGGGAAAAAACAGATGTATGCATATTGTAATTACAGTTATACAGTTGAGATGTATATACAGAAGAGGTTGCAGAGAAATGTACGCAGTTCTGTTCACTTGAGTTTATGTGAGTAGGTCTTGGTTATCTTAACATTTTTTTCAAGAAGACAACGGCTGACAAAGGGATTTTTGGGCGATAACTATATAATAGAACAGTTTCTAAAGCCTGAAGTACGTGGAAATCAACCTGTCTTATTTCATGAATGTACTACTTAATGGCAGTTATTGCTAGTTTCTGAAAGGACGCGAGAGCCGTCTGAAACAGCCTGAGGGTCCTACGCACCAAGGCCCTAGAGTAAAGAATTCCCTAAATTAGCAAGAGTATTTGACATCTTAATAGACTGCTCCAAATAATTCTGTTACTTGGTTTAAAAATTTTTCAAACAAAAACAGCAACTGGGTCACCTGTTAATTTTATGTGTGAAATACATATCTATTCATACACAAAGTCAGTAAACTTCATCTTTAATGTGCTTTAGTTTTTTCCTAAGCATCATTTTTAATAACACTGTATGTCCTACAAATTATATAACATATGCTTTTCCAAAGGGGAAAGAAGGATTAAATGGATGATAAATCTGATGAGAAAAAATTGTGACTTTATATTGATTTTAATATTTGAAGATAGATAGTGCCAGTCACCTAGGAGTTGCTGACAGCCGTGAAACAGGAAAACCTAAAAATCTAGTCTCACGCTGTTATCTCGTCCGCAGGGTAAGAGTGTCTTAACCGGAGGTCTCGATGCTCTGGAGTTCATTGGCAAGAAAACCATGAATGTCCTTGCGGAAAGCGACCCAGGCTTCAAGCGGACCAAGACCCTCATGGAGAGAACCGTGTCCTTGTCTCAGGTTGGATCATATACTATTGCAGTTTTCTCTTCTAGTCAATAAAGTAAATAAATCTTTGTTTATCTTTTTGAATAGGGGATTTAAAGTACATAATCCAAATTCAAATGGCACCAAAGAGCAGAGAATGAAAATTGAATTTCTAACACTCCTCTTTCCTCACCACTTAGTTCCTCAGAGGAGACAACCCAGTTAACAGTTGTCTTGTGGATTCTATCAGAGATGCCATCTAGATATGAATCTATGAAGAGAGATACAGGTATTCTCATACATACAGATATATGAATGCATACGTAGCTATACATACAGACACATCTATGCATGTGTGTATGCATGTACATATATACACACATACTTTTTCAACCAAATGGTGGCATACTAATCATACTCTTTTATACTTTGCTTTATTCACTTAACAGTTTCTTCAAGATTGTTCCATATATGCCATTGTACGTATCCCAGGCCTACCATTTATTAGCTGCATGACCTTGGACAGGTTACTTAGTTCCTCTGTGTCTCAGTTTACTCATCTGTACACTGGGTATGACAACGGTACTTACTAATAGCTTTGTTACGAGGATTAAATGAGTCAGAATAGAACCCAACTCATACTTAGCACTCAGAAATGTTAGTTGTTGTTGTGGCCATTGTTGTGTATCAGTATATGAGGCGGAAATGGTATCTCACTGGAATTTTCGTTTCTGTTTCCCTCGATATGTGCAAGGGTGGGCTTCTCCTCTCACACTTCCAGCGCGGCACTGAAGGTTTCCAGCCCTCCTTAAGAGACATAATAATCTCTTTGCTTACTCACAGTAGTCAAGAAAATTAAAAGTAATATTTATCTTCTTTTCCAAATATAAAGCTCTAACATTGAACTTGCTGTTCCAGACGGCACATGCCGGCTTATCCGCACAGCGCAGGCACGCCCCTGGCGCTTGCTCTGCGAGAGCCTGAGACACCAGGTCTCTCTGTGCCTTGCTAAAATCAGGGGAGCTGCTGCAGCGGCAGATTCTGTAGACAGCACAGGCAGGACCAGAATATCTTCTCATGGCCGGGCACTGGGAACCCATGACGGTGTCTTCACAGAGAGCTATGGCTGAGAGCATGTGCACGGCAGCTCCCCGAAAGCTTCATCTCTTCTAAAATAACCCACGTATGACCACCCTGGTGTTATAGCCCAGGTGGGGACTTTGAAGGATCATCCAGACCATCACCCTCCTCTTCCTTAAGAAAACAGATTAGTATGTAAAAGAACAATGCCCCAGTATCTATGAGGCTTAGGACGAAAGGTTTACCTTTTGTGCCCACTGTGTGCAGCGTGAACACACCTTCTCCCGTGGGAGCCTCTGTCCCAGGGGGCTCTCGTGGGTAGCTCTCTTCTGAGCCCACATCTTCTGGCTCCATTGTCTTGAGATCCTTTAGTTCCAGCCTCACAGAGGGGAGGGCAAGCTGTGGAGGGCCACGCGGGACAACTGGGGACCAGCCCTGGAAGTGCAGGCATCGCTTCTGCCTTCATGCCCTCGGCCGAACCTTGTCCCATGGCCCACCCAACTCAGTTCAGGGGGCTGAGAAATGCTGGTTAGCCATGCGTCTAGGAGCAGAAGAATATTCGATGAGCACGTGGGAATATTTCTGTCACCAGATTTTATATATACGTATAAAACCTTATTCTAGCTAAGATAGTGATGAGGTGAGAGAAATGAGACTGAGTCCAGAAGCTAGCTCACGCCGCCGTGGCCTGTTTGGCCGTAACGTGCAGAATTGGACTAGGTTAGTTCCCCAGATTACTATAATTTCTGTGCTACCATCACGATTTTTTTTTTTTGAGACAGAGTCTCACTGTGTTGCCCGGGGTAGAGTGCCAAGGCGTCAGCCTAGCTCACAGCAACCTCAGACTCCTGGGCTCAAGCAATCCTTCTGCCTCAGCCTCCCGGGTAGCTGGGACTATAGGCATATGCCACCATGCCCGGCTAATTTTTTCTATATATTTTTTTTTAGTTGTCCGATTAATTTCTTTCTATTTTTAGTAGAGACGGGGTCTCGCTCTTGCTCAGGCTGGTTTCGAACTCCTGAGCTCAAACAATCCGCCCGCCTCGGCCTCCCAGAGAGCTAGGATTACAGGCGTGAGCCACCGCGCCCGGCCACCATCATGATTTTTATCACATCTGCATGTAACCTGCTGGTAAAAAGTAGCACCGCTCATAGAAATGTGAGTAGCAATGCTCATAGCACTGTACCACCCAGGAGCCACGCAAGCCACCTGCGGTGTGTGTTCTAATCACACATCTGAATGATGATGGCAGAAAGTGTGGTACAGAACATTCTGGGGCACCCCGAGCATTGCACCTGCAGTTCACATGGCCTGCTTAAGCCGGATCACCACAACACTGCTGATCTAACCTCCTTCCAGACAGTAATACTTCAGCCAGCCAGCCAGCCATTCCACAGTGCACCCTGGGTGTCCACTCTGTGCCAGACACTGTTCCAAGCACTTGAGATACATCAGTAGCCAAAATGGATAAAAATCCCTGGCCTTAAGGAGCTTTTGATCTAGCGAGGAAAGACAAACATTATTCAGTGTTTTAGAAGATGATGGGTGCTGCGGAGAAAAAAGACAAAAGTCGAGCAGCAAGAGGCAGTCAGGAGGTGGGGTGAGGGGCAGGTTGAATATGAAGTGGACGATGAGGGGCCTTATGCAGATGATGACATTAGAGCAAGTACTGGAAGGAAGGGGGGGCTGACCACGCAGAAGTCTGGGAGGCGCTCATTCCAGGCAGAGGGAGAAGCTCGCGCAGAGGCCCTGAGGCAGGAGTGTCTGTGTGTCTGGTCTGAACAGGAATAGCAACACGCCACGCGGCGCGGGCGGGGAGGGAGCCAGGGTGTGACTATTGAAGAAACCAGTTACGATGTGTCTCGGGCTAGGTCTTCCCAGAAGCAGACACCAACATGGGCTTAAACATGCAAGAATTTCATTAGGGGAATTGATTGCCTACATGAGAGAAGATGGGGAGGGGGCCCAGGAAGGCTGGGGGAACCATTCGACCAAGATGCAGGCCCCTCCCCGGTGAAGGCAAGAGGGAGAGCGGATCGGGCAGCGTGCCCTAGACTGCCGAGCAGCCTGAGGACGGCCGGGCGAGGCCCTGGGAGAGCCCTTCCGTGAAGTCTGCTGACAACGGAGTGCCCCATCTCCTAGCGACTGTCTGCCTTAGTGTCCCTACTGCACCAGTGATTGGGAGGGAGGAGTCCCGGGAGGCTCAGGGATGGATTTCAAGCCCAGCCACCCGGCCTTGATCACTTATGCTCCTGGGGATAGGAGGGTGGTCTGCAGGGTGCACCCCCACACCCTCCCCAGGGGCAATTGCAACTGCCAGTATCCAAACAAGAGATAGTGGTGGCTCAGAACAGCATGGAGGGCTTGCAGGTAGCGATGAGTGCCTGGTTCCGGGTATAATTCGAAGACAGATCCAGGTTTTCCGCTGGAGTGAAAATGGGCTATGAGATAAAAGGAGTCATCAAGGATGGCTCTAAGGTCTTTTGAGTAACTGGAAGGATGAAGCTCTCATCCACTGAGACAGGGAAGTCTGTTATATTTTTCCTCTATACACTAAAGAAATGCATAGCTGTACAAAGCCCCTAAATTGCATGCGTGCACTGCCTAAATTCTCACGTGTGCTGTCGCAGTGGTACAGGGAACACTGTGAATAACACGGGCACAGGTGGTGCTGGAATCCCACCGGTGTAAGTCGCCATGGCTTCCCTCTCTCAGGAGTTCTTCCAGGCCAGAATCACACTCACTGCTGTTGAAGCCCGTCTCCTTTTCTCTCCAGAGGGAAAATAGAACCAGCATCCCTTGTCAAGCTGTTTATCCTTTAGGCAGTTCTAATTTCACTCCCTATCTTTGAGTGAATCCTGCTCATTCCAAAGTAACATTTTCCTTTTCCCTTCCATTCTGCCCTTCTTCCCTCTACCCCAAAGTACAGATTTAGAGATGGAAGTTGGTGTGGAGAAAGGAAGCGATTTCATTGTCACTTTGTTATTTTATTTTACCACCACCAAGCCCTGAGACCAGTGGGGTGCTTGGGTTTTATTGCAAGTGTTAAAAAATTCACAGTGATGACTTTATTGGGTTGTTTGGAAAACTAAAATTCAGAGCCTGTGCTAATTTAGTCTTCAAGACAGACAGGAGAGAGAATTCTCTCTGAAGCGCAGTGGGTTATTGGCTAGCGTCCTAAAGAACCCAAAAGGAGAACGAGGCTGATTGTTTCATTGGCACACAATAAAAAGCAGAGTCTGTTCTTCAGTGTTCTTCCCCTTGTGACCTTGTAGGGGTGGCCAGTGTATTTATGGTGCTCTCCACAGAAATTAAAGAACCCTATAAAGTTAATGCCCTAGTAAACTTAATGAGGAGTCAAATAAAAGATACTTAGAATCAAAGAAAGCAAGTGCAGAAAATTTGGGGGTGACTGATGGACTTGGGTTCATTTTGTTGTCTTTTTATTTAATCACCAGAAAATAACCAGAGAAAAATTATTAATGTGGATAGGAACTTGGTTCACCATCAATACTTTTGGAAACCAGCCTAAGAATCTATAAGCTAATAGTCTTAATTGTATTAAGTATCTGATAACAAATACATTATGAGTTTATATTTATTAATTTTTTTCATTGAAGATATTTAATAACCACACACACAAAATTTCAAAAATAATGGAACTCAGATCAAGTCAGACCAGCTTATTTCTGCTTTGAAGTCTGCCTAGGTGCAAAAGTTGCAATTAATCCTGTCATAAGAGATTAAACTTTCCCAATGTGCATAAACTAGATCATTATAGAAAATTTAGGCATTTTAGAAACTAAGAAAGTCAGTCACACACGTGGAGACACTTCAGTGGAAACCGCTGTTCAGCTTGTGGTGTGCTTCTTACCAATCTTGTTCCCAGGCACAGAATTTTTGCTTTGTTTTGCTTTGCATATTAGAAACATGTGAAATTCAAAGTGGAGCATTATGTAAAAATTATCAATAGCATCAATCAAAAAACCATTTTTTAGAAATTCCAAGGCGACCAAAATCCACCCTTCTCAAATACAAAGTCAGCCCTCCCCGTCTCCCTGGGCACAGACAGCGTGTGTTTCTGCAGATGCTGAGGGAAGCCAAGGAGAAAGAAAAGCAGAGACGGGCACAGCAGCTCACGGTGGAGAGAACCGCGCACTACGGGATGCTCTTTGATGAATACCAAGGTTTGTCACACCTAGAAGCCCTGGAAATTCTGTCCAATGAAAGCGAAAGCAAGGTATGTCTGCACTGCTCATTTGAAATAGCAAGTTCTATACCGTGTTTTCTTAAACATGAAAGAAACTAGAAAAATCTGCCATTAAAATATGTCACTTTTAGAGCCCGTTACTGTTGTGCTGAGGTCACAGGTGCACTCCAGCCTGATGCCCCTCATGCGCCGTATAATCTCCTCTCTGTCGTGTGCCAACCTGTTACCCCACCCAGCCCCAAGAAAGCCGGCGCAGGAAGTCCGCACACCCTGCGTCATGGCAGCTCAAAGCCACAGCCGCCAGGCTCCTGGCCCTCTGCCTCCACTTGGCGACGTGGCACTCAGATGGGAGATGCCCCGCGGGCCCACATCTTCATTCCTACCCAGTAAAAACAAAGCACCTGATACTGCTTTCAGACTGCAGATTTTAATGATTTTGTTTTATGGTCTATATGGTTGTTTATTTGGCCCTCTGTTAGAATGCCTGGGCCACGAAGGGCAGAATTGTCTTACTGAGGGTTGAAGTCCTGTTTGAGAATTCTCCCATGCAGAAGCCTGGGAGACCCAGCCTGCCTTGCACGCTCACACCCCCCGCTGCAGCCCCCAGAAAACAGGAGATGAATGGGGGAAGTCAGCGGGGTTTGGTGATTTTTTTTCCTTAAAGGATCTACAGTGAGTTGCGTGTGGTGTGTGTGTGTGTGTGTGTGTGTGTGTGTGTGTGTCATTATTTAGCGAGCACTTACCTGGCACTTATTTAGTCCCTATTCTAAACACTCTAAAACTATAAGCTCACTTAATTGTTTATATGGCTCTCCCATGTGGCTGTCAGGCTGACTGTACTCTGGGGTCGGTTTCCAGTGGAGGCCACAGGGCAGCACCCTCTGGGCCTCCTGCGGGGGACGGGCCTTGGGCCATTCTGGTGACGTTCCCTGCAGAGGGGCAGGTCCTCAGACAGGAAGCTGAATTTGGAAGTGAGCCTTCCCGTGCAGAGTCGTTTTTGACTCTCTAAACTTTGCGTCTGGACTTTGAGGAGGCCCAGCAGTTCCTGAAGCCTCAGCAGGGAAAGACCACCTCTGCCGTGTGACCACCCACAAGCCCCGGGCAGGATGGAGACGCCCTTCCCCACCCCACATCATCGAGTCACATGTCACTCTCTGTTTATTTCCTTTTTTTGTGAGCCATGAGCCTTCAGTGAGAGTCTTGTGGTTAAAACTGTTCAAAGATAATTTTCCAAAAAAAGGAAAAATTGTGATTCTCATACAGATACAAAATGACCACGTGTTAAAGAATTTATTTAGCTCATTAATTAAATGAGGGAACCAGGCAGATATCATAGCCAGTTCAAAGGAAAAGCCGAAGAAGCAGCAATTACATGGAGTGCAGGAATGTCGAAACGAATGTGCGACAAACCTGGTTTTCCACAGCGGGAGAGGCTGTCCCCCTCCACCCAGCATCACCCGCGGGTCCACAGACGACAGTGATTTTGCACTGTTATCAGCTGTCTGCAATTTAGAGTTGTCAAATTGCTCCCGTAGATTCAGAATCTGACAGTCTAGTCGCACATGCTCTGGACAGTGCAGTTCTCCACTGGAGCACAAGTTCTCCCTACAAAAGTGGGGTCTAGAGTCAGGCATTACATTGTTGAACACTGTGCAGTAGCTGTGTGATTTTGGACCCCTCTTCCCTCAATATCCTTATCTATGAAATGGGAATAATAATGAAAGCTACCTCACAGGATTATTAACAGAATCAAATTAGATAATCTGTGTGAGGCTAGCAGCAGCATGCCTAAAACATAATAAGCACTCAACAATGTATATATAATGTTGATGACATTTTATTTTTATATGCATTATGTTATATGTATTTGTTATTGCTATTAAAAATATTACAGAGGCCAAGCATGGTGGCTCACACCTATGATCCCAATACTTTGGGAGGCCGAGGCAGAAGGATCACTTGAGGCCAGGAGTTCAAGACCAACCTGAGGGGCATAGCAAGACCCTGTCTCTACAAAAATTTAAAAATATATGTATTACAAGGGAGCATGGCCCCCTGTAAAAACATTACAAGCTATCATGGTGGAGAGAGATTCCATTCCGACTGTTTCTATCACAGGTTTCAGCTGTGAAACGGCCCTTTGGAAAGGAGCCCCAAAGGACTTAGTTGCTGGGAAGGAAATTTGGTCCTTGGAGGGATGTATTTCCTTCTGTTTGCACACTGCTTCCATAAGCTCTGCTTTCTTTCTCTAGCCTGGAGGTTTTTGTGGTATTCATAGTAAGGAATGCAGAATTTTTTTCTTGACTTAGTAGTGATAGTTACTGGGTGCTATAATAAACAGTCCTAAAAATGTATGGGTCCAAAACAGTAGAATTTATTCTTCACTCCTGTAACAGTCCCAGGTAGAAGTGCCTGGTCAGCAGGCAGCTTCCTGCATTTAGGGATTGAGGAACCAGGCTCTGTCCCTCCTGTGGCTCCACTAGACCCCTCCCAGCGTACACAGGCCTCCAGCAAGAATACAAATGGAGACCTACACTGGGTGTGCCAGATTTAAAAAATAAAAATACAGCCTGACTAGGTTAATTTTAACTTTAGATAAACAGTGAATTTTTTTTTGGCATACATATGTCCCATGTGGTATTTGGGACATACACTTATACTGAGAAAATATTCATTGTTTATCTGAAATTCAAGTTTAGCTAGGCATCCTATATTTTATCTGGCAACCCTACACATACCAAATATTTAAAAGTCAAAGAACTTTTGAAACAAGCTGTTAAAGAAAATATATTTTGTCCTCCTGCCTTGACAAACATCCTTTCCTAATGACCTGGAAGGCCACCTTCCCATTTAGAATTCTCAGACTCCTCAAATTTCCACACCCCGCTTCAGCCTGTCCCTTCCTCGTGTCTCCAGCTCTGTCTCTCTGCTCAGGGAACCGTGTGTGCATGTGTGAGCATGGCCTAGTTCAAGCTCCGCCCTCACCCCCTGCAGACAGCCACTCTTGGCGCTCCCCTGGGCCTAGTAGTACATAGGCCAGTGGCGTGGTCCCCCCGTAAGCAGCACAGCCTGGGGAAGAGGCTCACGCAGGCCATGCAAGAGAAGCTGCAGTAACCTGGAGAGTATTCTGGAAGGGGGAGTACAGGCTCCGGTGGGCACATCCCTTGGGCCTTGTGGACTCTCTTGTGTCCACGTCTGAAGGCAGTATTGGATCTTGCCGTCCTCTAGGGCATGGTCGTCTTCTGAATTGCAGAGAGTGTAGAAGGGACACTCGCATTTTTTAAAATCTTGGCCCAGAAATGATGCACATCATCCCTGCTGACGTTGCACTGGCTAAAACTCAGGCACTGTAATGGAAATAAGGAGCTATTATTATTACCATTTGACTAGATTGATTCTAGGATGGCAACAGGCATGGCAGGTGGTGTTTAATAAAAGTCATAGAAACACTAATCATTTTCATCTCCGTTATACTCACTGGTTAAATAGTAAACAAAATCTTTAAAATGGCAGCACACACCACCTTTCAAGGAAAAGATTTACAAGGCAGACTGTCTACCCTTGTGTCCGGGACAACACTTAGCACAGTGCCAAGCATATAGTCAGCATTCCACAAATATTTATTGAGGAATGTGTGATTATTTATTATTTATTATTGGATTGAACTAAAGATTCAGTGCATATCACCTTGGCGTAATGGAATGAACTAGGAGGAAGCAAGAGATGCTATAATATTAATAGAAAGATACCAACAAAAGAGTCCCAGGCTAAAAAGAACCCTTCCCAGGAGGTGCCCAAAACATGAAACCCCCATGCGTTCCCTCCAGGAAGATTGCCATCGCCACAAGAACACGGGAAACCCAAATGTCCCACATGCCTACGTACATTTTCACTAAGCGGTGTATTCAAACACATTTATAATTACCGTTGGAAAACTGGGGTTCAGAAAATACGCGTGAAGCGTAGGAATGTGATGTGTGCATATCTGGGACCCTGCCAGCAAAGCACGTGTGTGTGAGCTGAAATGAAGACTCTGGGAAGGTCGGGGCAGACAGGAGTGTCCCGGAGCCATCGTGCAGGGCGCATTTGCTGAACTCCGCAGGGTGCATTTGCTGAACTCCACACTGATGGGTTTGCGGTGACGACTTCCTGCCGAGCCTCTGCCCCGGGTGCATTATGGAGACACACATTAGCACCTTTTAGGAAAATGTCATTCTGGCGTCCCGACGCCCTCCCTAACGCTCTCCCTCATCCCCCTGTGGGACGTGCGCACCCACTACCACGATGGATATTCAAACATGTTCCAAAGAGGACTGCAGCTCCCTCCAGAGCAAGGTCCAACCTGTAGAATGAAAAAATAAAAACCTTACTACTTTGCAGTCAAGCTTCACTTTTTCCATGGTGCTCCGTGCCCTTTGACCATTTTAGAAATTCAGATTCATCTTCAGAGGATGGCTGGCCCTTTGTACAAATAATTTTTAAGTGAGCACAGAGGACAGTTTCGAAAGAAGGGTTCTGAAGACAGTGAACAGGGACGCATCAGTCCAAGCGTCACCTCCTCTGTGAAGTCCTCCCTGCACACTCTCTCGCCTCCCCAGTGCCCCCGGTGTGCCCTCCGTTCGCATCTGTTGTGGCTGTTCTTGGTGGACACAGGCTTCCCTCCTGCAGCCTGCAACATCTTGGAGAAGGAAAACATGTCTCGGGCATTTCTGTAACCCTAATACAATAACCTACACCTAGCAAGTGTATATGTGGGTATATGTAACACATATTTATGTGTTTACGTGTGCAAACATACGTACACACATATGTAAATACTGAGCATCACTCTAATTTTTTTTTTTTTTTGAGACAGAGTCTCACTGTGTTGCCTGGGGTAGAGTGCCAAGGCGTCAGCCTAGCTCACAGCAACCTCAAACTCCTGGGCTCAAGTGATCCTCCTGCCTCAGCCTCCCAGGTAGCTGGGACTACAGGCATGTGCCACCATGCCCGGCTAATTTTTCTGTATATTTTCAGTTGTTCAGCCAATTTCTTTCTATTTTTAGTAGAGACGGGGTCTCGCTCTTGCTCAGGCTGGTCTCGAACTCCTGAGCTCAAACGATCCGCCTGCCTCGGCCTCCCAGAGTGCTAGGATTACAGGCGTGAGCCACCACACCCAGCCCACTCTAAGTATTTTAAGTGCATTATTTCACTTAACCCTCAAAACAGGCTTATAAAGTAGATGCGGTTAATCCCCATTTTACAAACAAGGAAGAAAGGCTTAATAAATTACCCAAGGTTATAGTAAGTGAGGAGCTGATATTTGACCCCAGGGTTGACGCCAAAGTGTGATAGAGAAGCAACCACCATTTATTTAGCATCTACTGTGTACACTTGTGCAATGTATTTCATATTCTTTATCTCATTTACCCCACAAAGGATCTTGCTTTAAAAATAAGAAAACTGAGGCCCAGAGGGCTCATGGAACTTGTCCAAAGTTGCACAGTTAATATGCAGTAAAGCCAACAGCATTACCTCCCACATGCGAATCACCTCCGTCCTAGGGCAAACTGGGGACGGCTGTGTGTAAACGTTATTAATGAGAAGAAAAGATGACAGTTATGCTGACCTATTTCTTTTTTCAGGTTCAGTCATTTTTAGCCTCACTTGATGGAGAGAAGCTGGAACTCTTAAAGAATGACCTAATTTCCATTAAAGACATCTTTGCAGCCAAAGAATTAGAGAATGAAGAGAATCAAGAAGGTAAAGGAAAATAAGTTAAATAGCAAGACGATCTGTTGGCACAATCCTTATGAAACTGCTGTGAACAAACACAGCCCTTTGAGCAGGGTGGAATCATTTCATTCAAGCGGCCCCCTCTGTGCTTCTGAAACACCCTTGGCATCTGCTCGTGTCACATTGATTTCGATCCTCTTTTTCACTGGGCGGGAACGCCTGTTATTTCTCTGATGTTCTGCACAATGCTCGGCACATCCCAGGCACATAATAAATGTGTATGGTCAAATGAGCAAGAGTGCAGTGTGCTAAACAGGGCCCTGATGACTAGAGTTTGCGCTCCGCTTCTTTAATATGATTCATGTTGATGGTGGGAAAACCTTTCGATGATTTCTTTGCATATTTTTCTTACTTTAATTTATATGTGTACGAGTCAGAGTGTATTAGTAAGTGTCCTACACTCCACCTAAGAAGGACAGTTCTGACGAAGGCTGCACCGTCTTTCTGCAGCGCGCCGGGACGCGATGTGTTGGATTGGCAATCACGGAAACGACACAGGCACACTTCGCCAATCTCCTAGCCAGATAATGACCCCAAGGAGACTAGACCTATTTATGAGAAGCAAGGCTTCCTTCAGAGGGGAAAAATTATTCTCAAAGTTGAGCATGCTTAATGATTACTTTAGGTTTTCCATTTGAGAGTAGAGTAAACCATTGCTTGTACCTGCAGAGTGATTTCTCACCGACAGCATGGCCACGCACCGCGCCACGGCTGTTTCATGTAGGTTATGCTGAAGGGTCCAGCAACTATAGACACAAGGCTGGCCTCTCCTAGAACCTTGGGAAGGATCCCATCTGAAACATTTTCACCACTCTTTTGCTGTATGCCCTTAAAAATGTTATGTAACCTTTCTGAAACTTGGTATCTAAAGTTGTAAAATGGAAACAATGATATATTTTCCCAAGGGCTATTTACATATGTTAGATAACATTTGTAAACACATATATTACAGTGCCTAGCACACAAAACTGCTCGAATTGTTAGCTGTTCTTATTATTTAAAGTGCTAACACAATGTCAGGAAAATAGCAAAGGTGCAGTAAATTGCGGCTTTTGTTTATTATTCTGCTTGTTATTACCTACCAAGCAAAGTAGGTAATTATTAACGATAATGTGCATTCATAAGTCGCTGGCAGTGTTTCGTGCCCAAATGCGTTACACCCTTTTATCAGAGTTCAAACTCAAGAGTTCAAATGCTTGAGCCTCAGTGCTCACGGAAAAATTATTCTAAGCATTCATAAACTGTCATTTAAACACCATTTCCTTCTTTAGCCCACATACTGACCTTAGGTGCCTTCAGCTTACTGAGATTTATTCTCATTGCATCAAAATAAAAGAATCAATTATTCTGAAGCATAGAAAGAGGTCAATATCAAAGGTACAGTTGGGGAATAATGTTTTTGAGCATTTGTGTCTTTCTACAAAAGTCACAAAGGATGACAGCCTTGTCTTTTTTTTTTTCCTAATGAAGAAACTAAAACATTAGCTGTTAAAGGTCATGAAGCTCGAATTGTGGACCCACGATGAACCAGTAGACGCCCTGTCCCAGACTTACAATCACCAAAAAGAATCAGGCTGTTCCTCTTCAAGTTTCATGATGCCTGAGGTAGACCTTGGTCCTGGTAGGGATATCTCTTAGAGAGGATAAAAAGAATATCCCAGATTCTCCCCTAACATCAAGGAGATATTATTGCCAATGCAAGCTAAAGCGGCACAGCATCCCCACTTGGTACAGCAGGGGAGAGAGGAAACTTAATGCTGTTAAGTAGAAAATGTTGCTATGGGTGATATGTTCCAGTCTAATTGTAGACATTTAATAAATCAGGATTTTTGAATATCTCATTCACACACATGCACGAACACATAAAAATCGAAGTACTAAACAGCATGCTTTAAGAAATGGTAGATTTGTCTCTCCTTAAGTGACAAAACCCTATTATCTCCCATAATATATCCATTTTCCCAAAGGGCATCTCCAGATTATCAAAACACTATTAATTTTAATTAACTTAATTTAATAAATAAATGTCATTCAGACACTTGATGAAGAATTGGGAAAATAGAATAGAGGCGTCATTGCATTAACCCAACTATGATGGAGTGTTACAACTCCAAAAAGGTCGAAGGATCACCCAAAAGCTATAGAGCACAATCTTATCAGTGGAGGTGGACGGAAAATCCAGGAGCAAAATTCTGGGAGAAAACAGTATATTCATCAAATTTTCTCCTCGTAAGCACTTACATTGCTAAAAGCCTCCTAACAACTAAATAATTTATTTGATACTCTCAGAAAACATAATAAACTGTCATTTTTAGATAAATTTAATATCAGTCTCCTCTGCAGTTAATAATGTTAGCTAATGATTTGCATGTTTGTCTTTCCAGCAGAGTGTAATTTTATCACACTGCCGTGGGTCTCTAATTTGATTTACCACGGCTGAGAAGAGATTTTTAAAGGCCATTTTCTATTTTTATTGCCTTGGTGAAGATCTTCTTGGCTCCGTGCACAGATCAAGAGTTGAGTTGTAGTAATAGGTATTCTTTGTTGCAACATTTATCATCACCTGTTTTTATCTACTTCCATTTTTTGCTATGATTTTTTCCCCTAAAATATTTGCTAAAAGTTAATCTCCCTGTGTTTATATCTGTGTAGCACATAATCATTTATTTACATAAAACTTTCATGTTTACAAGACACTTTCGCATTTGTTGTAGTAGCTGGTCCTTATAACAACTGTAGCGAGGAGAGAGGCAGGTTTCATTATCCCAGTTTACAGAGGAGGGCATGGGAGCTGAGGAAGCCTTGTGACTGGCCCCAGAGGTGGGGGCCACACCCCCCAAGTCTCAGGCCAGGGCTCTTTGTGCCCTGAAGCAGAATGAGAAGGAGCAGGAGGTGTAGGAAGGAGACCTTGTCGAAGCTGCCCAGGTGTGGCCCTGCCCGTCTAACTTTGTCCACACCTCTGCCCAGCAGAGACAGAATCTCAGCTTTTGATGGAACCTCTCTCTCTCCCCCTCTCTCTATCTCTGACGCTCTCTAGCCCTGCTCGCTTTGCATGGCTAATGCATTCTTATTCTTGAAGGTTCTGTTCAGACATCACCTCCTCCAGGAAGCCTTCTTAACATCCCTCTGAGAACTGAATTAAGTGCTGCAAAAGCCCCCTCAGAGCACCTACCTCTTTTGGGTTAAAATCATTTTCTTGTTGCAACTTCATCTTGAGCAAAGACAATCATCTCCGTCTGCCCCCCCTCACTCTCCAAGACACACGCACACCACTCCCTCACGCTACTGCAGCCGCCTGGACCTCCTTGCTCCTCCCTGAACTTGCTGGGCACGCTCCCTCCCAGACTCGCCCCACCCGACGTCTCCGCGACATCTCGACACATCTCGTGGCCCAGCACTCTCCTCCTCCAGGTGGCTACTCAGACATCGCCTGCTGAGCCGCCCTGCTGTCTAAGTCCATTAAGGCTACTATATCAAAATGCCACGCACTAGGTGGCTTATAAACAACCAAAATTTATTTCTCACAGTTTTGGAGACTGGGAGGTCTGAGATCAAAGTGCCGGCAGATTCCGTATCCAGGGAGGGTCCCCGCCCTCTGATTCACAGATGGTGCCTTCAAGGGACCAGCTAGCACCGTGGGGACTTGTGCTGGGGCGCGGAGCCCACCCTCATGGTCTCCTCACCTCCCCAAGCGCACTCCTAACAGCAGAGCACAGGTGATTAGGGTCAACATGGGAATCTGGGCAGGTGCGAACATCCAACCGCAGCTCCTCCTATTCACGCCTCCCAGAGCCGGCGGCTCTTCCTCTTCCTCGGTTTATCCTTCTCCATAGAACTTGCCACTTGACAGATGTGTTTTACTTACCTGTTTTGATGATTGATGTGTCTCCCTCCTGAGAATATGTGAATTATAAGTAATAACAAACTGGTCTAAGCCAAATGTTTTGAACAAAGCCCTACAAGCTGCCCTGGCTATCTTCATGAGCTGCTGATTAACCATTTTGTGTGTAAAACAGAAAATGGCACATCCAGACAAGCGTTAGATACAGTCTTTCTCGCACTGCTCGGTGCTCCCTGAGGGCGCTGCCTCCCCGCTGGGGTACGACAGAGCATCTTCTTCTCAGAGGGTTGGAGATCATGCCATCAGGCCAGGTCAATGATGCTTTCACTCTCCCCCAAACTGGCGGTAAACCCCTTGTGGAATCTGTCCTTTGGCACCTGTCAGAAACTTTTAAAATGGCATTGCCTTGTATATAGATAAAAATGAGAGAAATTAGAGTCTCTCTTTATTGCCCACCAATGATACTAATTTATTTTCATTTTACGATATATATTAATGTACCATGTATAACATCTGGTATATATAATTAATATATTATTGTATGTTAGGTAATTTATTAATAAATTGTTTATTCATTAAATATTCATTTTAGCACCTTTTATGTTCCAGGTACTATGTTAGATGCTCTGGATTCAGGAACAAGCAAAATAAATACTAGCTCTGTCCTTCGGCAGTTTCCAGTGTGAAGGGAAGACAGATCATTAAGAAATACCGTAGAACCAGACAGTACCCTAGGGAGCCTTGGGCAGTTTCCCCAGAGCGCTGGTGGAGACTAACTCTGCGTGCTCAGCCCTGTGCCTCTGTGGACGTGGAAGGGCGCGTGGGTCGCAGCAGGGCTGCAGTGCTAAGCATAACGACACTCTGCGTCGTAGATCCGCTGTTGTCCCAGGCCTCTTAGGCCTGAGAAGGGGCCTACGTTTACTCGAGCATTCTTTCAACACACAGCTGTTGACCACCTGTCGCTGTGAACAAGACGGGCGAGGCCCCTCCCCGCCCTCTTGTTGCTGTGGGACCAGCCCGGGTGTCCCGGTCGGAGCTGCCAGCAGCCAGGTGCCAGCGGCTGCCTCACTGCCCGGCTCACGAGTGAAGAAGACGCTCGTCCTCGCCGTGCAGCTGGCGGGCAGGCTGCCACGGCCTCCTCCACTTAGCCTGCCCTGGCTGCCGGCGCTAAAGCGCGGGGAGCTGCCACATTCGGAAGGATGAAAAATAAATCATGCTTCTTACTTCTGTCATCTTCTGTTCCTAGGCTTAGAAGAAAAAGGAGAAGAATTTGCCAGCATGCTTACAGAGCTTCTCTTTGAATTACATGTCGCGGCCACACCTGACAAACTCAATAAGGTCAGCACCATTTGATTCAGAGTGTTTGGGGAAAATTCCCAAATTTTGTAAAATTTTTTGTAAAAAAATTGTAAAATTCCAGAGATCCACCTGAAATGGAAAAAATCCCGTATGGCACAGTGGGGAGAGGGGAGTTTGAGGTCATCAGTTAAGATTCGAAGAGGCCACATAATAAAATGTGATAGTAAAGAACATGCTATATGTTATGAGACCTGCATTTTAGTTGTAATTTTACTAATAATTACCTGTGACCTTGAACAAGTCACTCACCTTTTTGTGGCAAAATAGAATGTTGTGTCAGAGCAGTGGTTATCATCAGGATAGGCGATGGAAGAGGGGGACAGAATCACCAAGCGGCTTTTCCAAATTCCACCTCCCCGGCCCCTTGTAAACAGAAATGCCAGAACTGGGCGGAGAGCAGCAGGTCGCCAGGTTAGCCACGCATTCCCTCCTGGAATGCGGGCGCTTCCTCCCGTCTGAGAACCTTCCAGCCTTCGCAGTCTGGGTCCCTCTCATAATACCACATATGACAGCACAAGGCCTTGCTTCGAAGTTTCTTAAGAGGACACTGATCATTGCTTACTTAAAACTGTGTGGTGCTTTCCCATTCGCGCTCTCTCTTTTCCCTTCCTTCTTTTTTGCGAGCGCGGCTTATCTAGGCGTTCGCTTATCCAGGCGGGCGAGGCCAGGGCGAGCGATCCCTCGTCCCAGACCCGGTCCCGACCCGCAGGCCGGACCGAACCCGGGACACGGCCCCTCGTGTCCGCGCAGCGCCTGCCGTCGCTCGGAGGGCGCGTGGCGGCTCCCAGGTCCTCGGGCTTGTGTACATGGTCAGGGTGAACCTCTGCCCTAAAGGACACATCAAAGACAGTTTTTGGGGTTTTCTCTCCCCACATCTTCTTACTGTTAACTTGCCATTCGGCACTCTGACGTGCTAACTTCCACGCTTCAGCTGTAAGGTGAGAAGTAAGTTCAGCACAAGCTCAGAAACAATTTTTACTCAAGTAAACAGCTTAAACTATGATGGTAAAATGTAGATGAGGCTGCCCTTTCTAGATTGAGGAAATAACAGGGGAGGTGCTTTCTGCTTGTTCAATGCAGCCATGATTTTTAAGGCCTCAGGTTGCCTGAACCGCACTCAGGTGAAATTGAACTAGCCGCAGAGGGCACCTGGGCTTGCCCGCAGCCCTGCCCCTCTCCCCTCCAGCGTGGAAGGCCTGCCACGACCCGGCCACGCAGGGCCATCCTTCACTCGCCCAGCGTGCTACATTATTAGGTTCATGAAACATTAAGAGCTTCATGAGTTATTTCAGATGAGGAAATTGGCTTTAGCCATGGCCCTGGCTCAATTTCTAACCTGTATTTAAAAAAAAAAAAATACTGTTATTCTTTTATAGTTAGACATGAAAAGTGAAAAATATGCCATAGATTTTTCAATGTGACTGTCATTTTTATTCTTATCCGAACATCATTTTAAAATGCTTTTTAAAAAATCCTCACGTCCTGCCATGTTCTCTCCATGCTTTCTGTTCTGTCTCCTTTGTCCTACTTTGTATCTACCGGAAATCAACATCAAGGTTACCTTTTAAGAGGCTCGAGGAATTGCCACTTCACCCCTTCAGCACACAGCGATTCTTCCTTGAGGGTTTAGAGACACTTGATTCTAGTCTTGGGATTGGAATTACTGAGTTTCCATGTTTGCACAATAAATGTGTTGCTTGGTTGGGGGCTTTTGCAGGCCATGAAAAAAGCTCATGACTGGGCGGAGGAGGATCAAACCACGGTGTCAGTAGATGTGGCAAAATACCCAGAGGAGGACACGAAGAAGGAAGAAAAAGAAGAGAAGCCTAAAGACCCTCAAGAAGACAAAAAGGAAGAAAAGAGAACTAAGACTGTAGAGGTAAATTTATTCTAGACTGTCCACTTACAGAACGGTAATATTATATTCATTTATTCGCAGCCCAATTTTAAGTGAGGAGAGGCCATTTCTTTTTTCATTTGTACCCTGTTCCATAATATAGAAATATAAGTAGGAATGTGATAAACACTAAAATTTCTCTATACCAAGACAATTCGTGGCTTAGTGCAGATTTTATAGCTTTTCTTCTTAGCTTTACAATTACAATTTAAAGGGAAGAAGATCTTTAAGAACATAGTTGATTTATCTTTAGGGTAGATTTCCATCGTATATGCAAATGTGTTACTATAAAATGTCTTTATGCCTTATAACTAATGAAGTAATTGAAGCTTTTTAAAAAAAATTTCATTGCTGCAGCTTTTATTCTGTAGTTTAATAAATTTATGTGTACATAATTTATACCCTGCCTGTGTTTAAAAAAGAAGTTTGCAATAACTTCATCTTACATTGAATTTTAATTGTAATGAAAGTTTTTTAAATTAGATCACTCTAAGGAAAAATGTCCATCGAGGTGTATTCATTCAGCCTCCCTTCCATGCACCTTCTTTGGCGCCTATCTGTTGTGTGCCCAGCGTAGCTCCAAGTGTTGGGGACACAGCTGTGAATGGGTTTGCCACATCCCTGGGGACCCGGAGGCACTTCCATTTTACACCATTCTACTTAGGAAAGTCTTAGCCATGCCCGTAATCTTTGGGTAAACTTTTCCATGTTATATTTGGGTTTTTAAAAAGAATTCTATCATTTTTAATATCACAGGGTTAAAAAAAAAAGCACCTTCTCAGGGACTCATTTTCTTCCTTGTGTTTTTTTATTTCAGGAAGTCTACGTGTTGTCCATCGAAAGTCTGGCGGAAGTGACGGCCCGCTGTATCGAGCAGCTTCACAAAGTGGCAGAGTTGATCCTTCATGGGCAAGAAGAGGAAAAACCAGCTCAGGACCAAGCAAAAGTTCTGATAAAGTAAATAGATGTTATTTTATTTCTGATAAATGCTACGTCTAATTCTTAATTTTCCAATTTTATATATTTATGTGCCACTGAGACACACACTCACACACAGATATCCTAGGCCACTAAAGATTCAGATTTCAAGTCTTCCATTATTTCATGGTCGTCTTAAGAAATAAGGGCTCCTTTAACAAATGCATTATGTTAACAGGAATAAGAAGAATTAACTAGGAATTATTTATGAAGAGATTAAAGGGAAGACACGCTAAATCATTCAGAGCCACAAAAGTGTTTATTTTAATAGATCAAAGTCTTGGAAGCACAGACTTGCAAGGATAATTACATTTTCAACTCACCACATGAATAGAAAGGAAACGCTGATACAGCTTCCCAGCCAGCTCCACAGAAACAGACAGACACACTGCACTGTTCGTAGGGACTGACACTAGCTCAGTGTCTGAGCCCTGGTCGTGACGGTCCCTAAATTTAAGCCAGTTCACTGCGGACTGCACCTGTGTGCATGGGTGGTGTCATTTATTATGTTCTTCAATAAATAGTAGCCATTTATTAGTTTATTGAGTGAAATAAAAATATATAAATGTAACATATATGTATATGAGATCTAGGGAATACTTATACATGAAAATAGTTGGTATGGAGCTGAAGAATAAGCTCTTAACTTTTATTTACATGACTATATATTATAATATAGAAAATTAGCACAGGTCCAAGTACCCTCTTGTTATTATACAGACACAGGAGCCAAAATCAGAGCCCTCTGAAAATATATGGGGACACACACACACACACACACACGCGCGCGCGCGCGCGCGTCTCAGCACACTCATTCACTTTGCTAGCTAACTAGTCTTTGCTTATTACCACATGTGGCATTGTAGGTTGGGGAGTAAGTTTTTAGTGGAAGGACCTTTGAAAAGGTCAGTATTAGTGTCTTTGTACTGGTGGCATTTTTCCTCACTTGTAAAGATTGGTAATTTCACCTAGATTTGCATATCTAAGCATATAAAAATCAAATATAAGAACCACATAATACCTCCCTAAACATTCCGAGAAAGAATACGTACTCACCTTAACATATAGAAGGAAGAAGAAAGGGCAAAATAGGAAAAGTTTAAAATACTGAGGACAATATCTAGGCACTATTTTATCTCAGCAGTACTGATTTGAAAGGGGAAGGTTGGAGTTCAGAAGTCCCTGAGTTTGGATAGGAAAAGGTAGGGTAGGATAGGGTAGGAGAGGAGGACCTTACTCTTAGCTCCTTTCTGTCCCAACCTTACCAAGCTGCACCAAGCCCTCGATTGGTCTGTGCAATAGGTGCCTCCCCACCCACCTGCCCAAGAGCATAGACAGGATGGCTCTGGGCTATCCTGGCCTTGCTCTCAAGCCTTTCTGCAGACAAGTTTTGGATGGATGGATGGATGGATGGATGGATATAGCTCGTCAAACTTAAGTACGTAGGTTAGATAGGCCCCTACTTGTCAAAACAAAACTTACCTCTACTGACTTTACTGTATCTTCTAACAATTAAGATTCTTAACTTGGGGTTATTGTTTTTCCAATAGCATTTTAATCACTTTTTATAAAAGTTACATATACTAATTGTTAGAAAAATATCAGACAGTACCCACATTATTAGGTTATTAGATTGTTTTCAGTTTTTGTCATCCATAATATTAGGATAAATATTGTTTTGGTTAAATATTTGTGTCCACCTTGCATTGTTTTCTTGGTGTAAAGTCCTACAAATGCAATGGCTAGATTAAACTTGGAATTTTGATATAATTCATAAAAACATATCCTACAAGGTCTCTATTTTGAGGCATCTAATAAAGACGTAATCAAAATATCAAGAGACGCCTGAGTTTGAATCCTACTCTACTGCTCACCGCTGCATGTCCTCAGCAGGCTGCTTAACCTTAAATGTCAGTTTTTTCATCTATGTATATGAATAATAGGAACATTAATGTAACCCATAAGGCCACTATGAGTATTAAAAATGATTAGGCATCCAAAAGTACTGAACATAGTGCCCCAATAAATATTCATTATTATTTTAAAATGACCAAGAAGCTGGAGAGAAGCCACCTGGCGAGAGTTTGTACCTCTATACGTGTGGAGCTCCAGCCTGGCATTTTCCTGCACTTGATTTTGATTCCAAAAAGAGGTCAAGTGAGTTAGATGATTATTCTGTAATTAAGCACGGAGAGAAAACCAGGATTAGATTAAACCATGATTGTGAGTCATGGAAGATCATTGAGGAAAACTGTCTGACTGCCCGTTTCTGTATAATGGCATCTTCAGGCGCATCTGCCGTTCTTTTAAACGTAATGCTGTGTTAGTATCAGCAATTGTCAAACAGCTAAATTATTTTACCTCATTGAAAACCCCCAAACCTCTTCTTTCTTATTTCAGATTAACTACTGCAATGTGCAATGAAGTGGCCTCCTTATCAAAGAAGTTTACGAATTCTTTAACCACTGTTGGGGTAAGATTACAATATTGATTTTTTTTTCCACCTTTTTTAAGGGAAGTAGATCTGCAAGGGGCTTTGAGGAAACGTGTAGCACCTTCTTTAGTAGCTCCGCAGAACAGAAGCCGCACTGGGCTGTAGCTGAAGCCAGACCAGGAGCGCCTCCCAGCTGCGCAGGGCCCTCCTCCGACGGGTCTGCCCTGCGGCCGCAGCCTCAGCCATGCGCACTGTGGGGCGAGTTTTCCAACCTCCACGGGCCTCATTTTCTTTATTTTTTTTAAGTGTCAGATGAAGGTTCCTTCCATTACAGATAGATGCCTATATCTGTCATGCATGTAATTCAGGAATCTTTATGAAAATAATGAATTTTGAATATTTTCAGTCACTGTTGCCCTCAGAGCGTATTTTATAAGCCATAGAAGAAGTTTCTTGGTTTTATTGTCACACTTCAACTTTAATCGAAGAAACATGTTACCAATTGGCTTAAGTGTTTCTATTCTCAGGGTAACAACTCTGAAAGGCTCAGCGTTCATGGGGAGGTGTGGCTTCTAGCTGTTTTCTTTGGAAATCAGCTTAGTGGTGCCAGAGAAGACAAGTGGAAAATAGTCCCTTTTGACCTTCCTACTTTTTCTTTTTTTCTTTCTTTTTTTTTCTTTTACTTTTATTTCAGCATATTGTGGGCGTACAGATGTTTAGGTTACGTATGTTGCCCTTGGTCCCCCCCGCCAAGTCCGTGTTTCAAATATGTCCATCCTTCGGGTGGTGCGCATTGCACTCCTTGTGTATACAAATACCCGTCCCCTCCTCCCTCCTCCCCCCCCCCCCCCTCTCCCCTGCCCAACATCCAATAGATGTTATTCTTATATGTGCATTTATGTGTTGATTAGTTAATACCAATTTGATGGTGAGTACAAATGGATACCTTCCTACTTTTTCTTTTAAAGCCCTCGATGTAAGTTCTGATGATTCTTTCCATGAGAAACAGCAGGTTTACTTCCTGTTTTAGCTAGGGTGTTTTTTTGGTTGCAAGTGTGTTCATTTCCTAGGGCTGTCGTAAGGAAGCACCACACCTGCGTGGCTTAGACAGCAGAGGTTTACTCTCTCACAGTTCTGGAAACTAGGCGTCTGAAACCAAGGCGCTGGCAGGGCCGCGCGCCCTCCGCGCCTCTGGAGCGGATGCTCCTTCCCTGCCTCTTCCCGCTCGCGGTGGCCCCAGCTGCCTTGGCTGTGGCTGCGAAGCTCCAGTCTGCCTCTGCGTCCTCACGTCCTCTCCTTCCCCGTGTGTCTGTGTCCGCACTTCCCTCTTCTTCCAAGGCCCAGTCCTGCTGCGTCTCGGCCCGACCAGGGGACCGCATCCTAACGCAGCAGCCCTAGCTCCAGATCAGGTCACAGGCCGCGGGACTGGAGGTTGGGACTTTAGTGTGTGTGACTGAGGGGAGCACAATCCAGCCCGTAACAGGATGCAACAGAAACAAGTCCCAAATAATTTAAAGAGAAAAGGAGCTTTACGAAAGGCAGAGGAGGAACGCGAGCGGCTGTGGGGACCAGCACCACAGCGCATGCGCCCTCCGTCTGACGTGTCGCCAAGGATGTGACTCAGCGGCGGCAGGTGCGGCCCGTGTCCATTCAAACTCCTGGCTCCCGGGTGGGGGCTTTGAGAAGCTCATCGGCATGGGTCAGACGTCCACCTTGGTATCCCTCGGCAGCAGCGAGGGACAGGGCCACATCTTGCAGAGCCACCTGGCTGCTGGGCTGCACCCCTGCCCCCCTCAGGCCAAGAGCTGTTCTCAAAAGAAATGAGAAATGATCATGGGCCTGGCTGTCACCCCAAAAGATGTCTGTCCCCCACACTTCTGTAAGCGACTCAGTTAGTAAGGGGTAAGGTACATACCACCTGTTCTGCTGTCATAAAATCTGGTTTGCTTCTCCTGTTTTGTAAAACAGCAGCTTTCGTGGTTGTCTGGTTAGGCCCCGGCTGCGCTGGGTAGGAGTAGAGTGCGGCGGGGGCGGGCGCGCGGATATGGCAGTCTGGATAAAATGCACTTGGCTGTTCCGCGTTGTCTGAGTTACCTGATGCCCAGACTGGTGAAAATGCTAGATTTGCAGAGAGGTGTGAGGTCTTTGTCAGGATAGCCGTGGCAACCCGGGTTCCCAAGGCTCTGTTGTACCTTCCTGTCACTCTGGCCACAGTTTACAAGATGAAGAAACTGAGGCCCAGAGGGGTGAATTGATCCATCGAGGCCTCTCAATTGATTTCCCAGCTCGCAGTGGCTGCCTGTCAGACACATCAGACGGATGGCCAACTGTCCGGGTCTCTGTGGTTGTCTGAGGTTGAGGGTGTGTGCGTCTGCATGCGTGTCTGTGCGTGTGTATTTGTGTGTGTTATGTTTGATTCATGCTACACATTTATCTGTATTAGCGCATAATATTCATGGTATTGCTTTCCATTCCTTTTAACGTGTATCACATTCCAGCACAGTGCTTCTCAAACCTCAGTGTGCAAGCAAATCACCTGGAAATCTTGGTAAAACGCAGATTCTTAGTCAGTCGGTCTGGGATGAGGACTGAGATTTGGCATTTCCAATGAGTTCTCAGGTAATGACAATGCCCACATCCACAGCCCACAACTTACGTGGCAAGGCTCTGGCAGATGGATGTGCACTTGAACTTATACATGTACGTGTACACACACGTGTACAAATGTTTGCATGCGCAAAATCAAGAACACACGGTTATCACTTTGGAGAAGAAAAAGCTGAATTTAAAATAGAGTTTACTGAAATGCCATCTTACCACAACAATGCCTCTGATGTTGCGCTGCGATGAATCATTTACATCGTCGTCGTTTCTGTTCTCTAAAACGGCCATTATTCATAACTTGAAGTTAATGAGTGTATATTGCTCTCCAGACCCCATTTAAATTGCTTGCACATCTCATTGATCTGAAAACCAATGTCATTTTATTGCCCTCATTTTGATTATATTTTAGAAGTTTATTGATAATCAAATAAACATGAAAGCAAATACTGTAATGGATTTTGCGGTTACTTACTAAAATGGATTTTAAAGAGTTTTTTCCCAAGACTCCATTATGGTTTCCCCATTAAGACATCCCTTCACCCTCAGTAGAGTAATGCCAATGAAAGTGGGCTGCTCTGGGAAGATATTTTTAATTTACATATTTTTGCTTACAATAAACTCTTCCAGGTAAAGAGAAACCAACCTAATAAGATTGCCCTCTCTCTCCAATCCCTGTAATCATTTGTGGTCTAAGAGTAGATTGAGCATTTTTAGATAGAGAAGACTCTTGATTGGTAGGCCAATACCATAAATAAGGGTAATGATACTAACACTAGCCTTCAGTTTTTAAGTACCTACTTTATACCAGGTTCTGTGCTCCATGCTTTACGTATATTTGTGTTTTTCAAATTTGGATCTGCAGACCTGTTCGTGAGTTATATTTAAGAATGTTTTAAATTTGCTGCTCTTCTAGAAGATTCCTTATGACCAAGTATCCCTGTTTACATTTAAAAGAAGAAAGAAAAAAAGACTAAACCAGGGCTTGGACTAGGTTAGATGAGTGAGGGATTTAACTCACCTGCAAAATTGAAAGGAGCGCAAAAAAGAAAAAGAAAAAAATCTCGGTAATCTAGATAGATATTTTAAAGCAATATTTTAAAAAAATTAAAATGCAAAAAAAAGGATCGATGAAATATCAAAATTTTAAGACAGGATCCAACCCCACACTTGTGCAACTCATCCTCACTGCCCTCACCCTAATCTTAGACTTGCTGCAAACTTTAAATAGTTTAAAAGATCTGAAATTTGTAGCTGTGTGAACTCAAACAAGTTACCTGACCTTCCTGAACCCTATTTTCTTCTCTTTAATTTGGAGTTATCATGGTATCTAACTACCTCCTAAGATTTCGGTAGAAATTAAATGAGACCATAGAGGCGAAACACCAAATACAAAGCCTAGTCTATAGTAAGCATTCCTCTTCTCCTCCTCTTCCTCTCTAAGAGATCCCTCAACAGAGCCAGCCTGTTACACTCTACGTGGCCAGCCTTGCAGTATGAGCACCTAATCTGTCAATTTCGTACTTTTGATTCCACAGAGTGACAAGAAGGCCGAGGTCCTTAATCCCATGATCGATAGTGTATTGTTAGAGGTAAGTGGCCCCCAGAGAGAAAGTACTTGTGAATCAAAGCAAATGTTAGAGCTACTTTTTATTTTTGTCCTTCTCCCAGGCAGCAAGTGTTATTGCAATTGTAAATCTTATCATCAACAGTTTTTTTTTTTTCTTTTTGAGTACATTTATGTAGCTCAACCAGCTGTAAACCCTCTGGTGAAGCAACAATACCTAATTTTCAAGAATTCCTGATTATAAAAAGAAACGCTAAGCTTGCATGTTATTTCTGCCACTGTTCCCTCCAGCAGAAGCAGATTTCTGCCAAGTTTGACACTAGATGTAACACTATGATTATTGGCTGCAATGAGGGATTATTGTTCAGCGGTGATTTTCATCAAAATGAGTACTCCATCCCCTCATTCACAATAACCTTTGGTTTAGCTGGGTCCAACCACTAGGCTGGCAAAAATGACAAGTAGAGTGTTTAGCCTTTGCCCATTCAGTGACAAGGGGCACCATCCTCTATGACCGTTTATTCTGTGGCCTGCCCACTCACCAGGACTTTGTGGCATCAGTTGCGTAGAATTGAAGCTGCCTCGACACTGCTGTAGCTTTTCCAGAAACACTGATGTAAGAGAAGAAAAGAGGCCCAGGAGGCCCTCTCATGCTTGCAGCATAGGCACTATATTCTACCTGTGGAGAATGGGTGGACAATTGGTGGAGCAAAGTCTTCCATAAAGGGCCAAACTTTAAGAAACTGGCACATCTGTAGCCACAGGACACCCCACTGAAGCCACAATGTGTTAACAAGCTAAGTTTGAACATGGGCGATGCATACGCAGTTTTTCGCTTTATGAAGTAGCTATCAGTTGCAAAATTTGAAAATTACATAACTTTAAGATGGCTACCTATATATTTATAGCAAATGTTTTAGGAAATTGTACCTTACTGTTAAGGAAAACTATCAAGGTACAAAAATAGCAAAGCGGTGGCACTGAGTGTTACTGTTTAGGATGCAGCTATACAGTGAGATGGAGTCCATCAGAAAGGACAGAAGCTACAGGGCAGGTCCTAGAGGGACAGACACAGCTAAGCAGAAACCCTGAAAGGCAAAGGCAGAATATGGCACAAGGAAATCTCTGCCCTGGCCACCCAGAAGTCATTAGCAGATTAATTTGCCATGTCAGTCATGAGAATATTAGATCAAGTGTTTTTTCATTTTCCCAGTGGAAGTTTTCACATGTTTTCGATACCCTACCCTTTAATGGCCTCTCTAATACTGTTTGTCAGTGCGCCACACACTAACAAACTAGTGAATAGTGCTATCAGATGCACAAACTAAGCACAGGAGGATGACAGTATTCGATGATTTGTCATGATTGTCAGATATTATTGGTAACTACCCAATAATATCTCCAGTTAGCTTTATATAGACCACTCTTGTTTATTTATCTGTAGGGTAGGACAGACTGACCTCCTTCATACTGTGCTTTTGTGTTGTTTCAGGGCAGCAGGGTTGATCTGGGGGAAGGACAGATGAGACTGAACATACTGGGCGATGAATAGACACACACTGATGTCTGTCCCTCACCTCGAGTGAGTTCTTCTCTGTCAGTGTAGCTAACTAAGAGCTGGGCACGCTCCATCCAAGAAAATGTGTTCACACTGGCTTTAACCACCAATATTACAAGAAAAATATAATCCAATATTGGGGGGTTTGAGGAGAGGGAACATTATCAAATTAGGAGAATTGTCAAGATTAAACTTTGAAAATAACCCTTCAACCTCATTTTTCCCGGTCCCAGGGCTGCAATAGCAGGACGTACGTACAGGACGCCCTCCAACTGCTGCTGCCCGTTCTGCAGGTTTCGCACATCCAGACCAGCTGTTTGGAAGCACAGCCCTGACGCAGCCAGACTCCATGGAGCCGAAGGAAACAGCAGACCACATTACTTCCTAAGCGGATGTTTTCTATACAGCTGGCCACAGACACCCATTTGAGGACACTACAGGCAATTTTGCACAGACAGTACTGAGAATGCAAGTTTAAAGAGAGTTGTCATTTCTCTTAATGTATTTGGTTGTTTTGACAAATAATTATGTTTTCTTTATGTTAATTTAAACTTACATGGCTTATATTGAAAATTTCCTTTAGTCTGAAATTCATTCACAAATATTCATGTCCACTTTCCTGGTCAAGCATGCTATATTTAAAAATTCATGGGCAGACCCTAGGTTTTTTTTGATCCTTTAAATTTCTACCTTTAAATGTCCCATTCTTATAGTGTTACTTTAAATCAATTCTTATATTGAACTTTTGTTACATAAATGTCATCGGCAAAAATAGCACTGCTTATAGATTTTACCAATTATGGTAAAAGAGGAACATAAGTATCTTTTTATAATCATTCATTCTTACAAAAGCATTTATTGAATACCTACTGTGAGCTCACAATAAAGGAGCATGGTCTCACTCCAGTAAGACAGATATCAGGGTTTACCATGATTCTTAAAATGCTTAAAAATACTAACAAATTTTTGAAAACTTAAAAAATTTTAAAAACAGGGTACATCAGTTGTTTACCTTTCACTTGATTATATTTTCCCACACTCCCTGAACTCTTTTATCCCAAACTTCATATTTGGGGTGACGATATGTATGAAAAGGGGTATTGAAGAGTATTTGGTTTACAATTGACTTCTTCTGATCATAAGCACATGATGGCAGAATCACCAAGCTTGGAAGTATTTGTCCCAGGAAGGAGTCGTATATGCAAAGCGACCCCCCAAATGCTGGAGGAACAGAGAGAACAAAGAGTAAGGCAGACAAATCCAGTTTGTTGCCATAGGATGATTTATTAGGGGGACTTTCGGACAGAAGCATGGTCTTGGGTGGCCACAAGACAGGTAGCTCTCCGCACCGCAACCCCCCAGTCCCAGGGCTTATATTTTCGGGGAAAAAAGCGCTCCGGAAGGAATGTGGAGGTGGCTGCGAGAACGCTGTGGCGTCACAGCTGAAGGTTCTGCAGCAGCGTCAGCGGTCGTTTTAGAGGAAAGGCGAGACGTCTAGTGAATGGGTGTTCCTATATAAAGAGTAATGCATCAGCTAGACATTTTGGAGGCGTTCCCAGATTCGAGGTTAGCCAGGCGGATTAGCATTTAAAAGAATACAGTCACTCTTGTCCCCACAGTAGTCAAATAGAAAACTAAAGGGGTTTATTCAACACAGTAGAATCCCAGGACTGCATTTTAAAATCCACCACGCAGGCTACACTTGCCGCTGGCAAATACCATCACTGCCTCTAAAGCCAGGAAACGCTGGCGTGTCCGACCGGCGGGCGCGCTGACCCGCGGGAGCCGGCGGCGAGGGGCGTGGCCGGAGGGCGGGGCTTCGGCGCCGCGGGCATGGCGGCGGGCCAGGGCGACCCCGTTCCAGAACCGCGACGCCCCGGGCAGTGGCGCAGGCCGTCTTGCCCGGTAGCTCTCTCCGGGGCAAATGAAGCTTGCAGTTTTGCAGGAGTGAAAGGCTCCTGTTCATATTTGCTTTTATTCCCCTGATAGAAGAAACGGCCTTTGCTCCATACAGGCAAGGCAGGGCCATTTTCGTGTCACCCTGCGTCTTATCAGCTTTGTCTGGGTCCTGTATTTTATTTGTGTATCTCCTGAAACAGCCATGGAAACATAAGAACAATTTATTTACAATCTAGAAAATAATTCTCTGAGGAATCAATTAAAGATTTTTTTCCTTTTCGAATGCCTGAAACGTTTCTCTTATTAATTCCAGAGAATGATTAACTGATGAAAATGTTGTATTTACCTCTTCATAAATTTTAGACTTTTTAATGTATAGAGCAGAGGAAATGATCTAGATTTACAATTTCTTCACTTCAGGTTTTCTTTGTAGCATCAGATTAGTTTCGACATTAACTGAAAATGTAAAAGAGAAACAAATATTTTCTCCAAGGAGCTAAATTTCCAAACTTAGACTTTTTGCCTAACTCCACCCATTTAGTACATAGCAAAAATTTTAATCATAAAATAAAATGGAAATCTTTAAAAGAATAAGAAGGATAATTATTCAAAAAGAAGTGGTTGGCATTATTGACGTTGCATTTATCTCTTCGTGGCAGGATGTCGAAGGTTGCCAGGTGGAGACACAGGCTGAGAGATGACTCCTTGGGCCTAGTTCCATGGTCTGTGAATGACATTCTTTAAGAAAGAGTAATAACTTGAAATATATCCACCCTCTAGAATTTCTTTCAATACTGTTTTTCACCATCACTTTTAAATGATGTAATTGCTTCTTTGCTTTGCTTTAAAACCTGGCAAACAGAGGATCCAGGTCTGGGCAAATGTCAGTCAGTTACTGAGTGAATGATTTAACAGGCTTCCCTTGGAAGTGTTGCATTCCTTCAATAATCCTTTACCTAAATTGGATTCATTTCACTCCGTGCAATTACCCTGAACAAGCGTGCCAGTCTTTCTCTTACATCAAGTGCAAAGCAAGTTCCAGGCTAAATAATGAATGTCCTGTGCCTTATTGAATAAAACGCATCAAAAGCAGATCTCACATTCTAAGTAAAATGCTTTCAAGAAAAATTGCTATCAGGTATTGACACATACAGATCTAAAGGGCAAAATCGAGTCCCAAATCATACAGCACGGGCGTAGCTTTCACATGCTGTCCCACTGAGAAGACGGGCTCTGTTTCCTACGGCTCCCACGCTGGGCTGCACGTCGAGCTCAGAGTTAAAGGAGTGGTGTGACGACAAACTGCGGCTGTGGCAGGGGCCTGCGAGGATGTACAGTTCCCCCAGCTAAGGGACTGTGGACCTCAGCTGCAGAGCTCCAAGGGTTGAAGGAAGTCCAGAAGAGAGGCCTGAACATAGAAGTGAGAGCGTTTCCTTGTACTTTGTAGAAATCAGCTGCCCAAAAGTGCTCAAAGATCTGGAAGGTCACCTTCTGCACAGGCAGGCCACGCTGTGCTTACGTCAGCAACAAAGGCCGACGGATTTCAACCATAGCCATCCCGAAGTCCAGGATATAACATCTCAGGGAAGCAATAAACATTTTATTTCTCTTTCTTCCTAAACACTGTGTGTGTGTGGGGGGGGGGCGTTGTGTGTGTATGTGTGTGTGTGCGCGTCCATGTGTGCTGAACAGATGGGGTTGATCACAACATATAACTTCAAATGGTATTTAATTTTATAAAAGCAATTATCCTTCAGTGTCAAGCTAGTTTTTTGTATAATGTAAAAACTATCCTTTGATCTTCCTCTTGAGCATGCCCTACATTCTGATATTCAGATCCAGGCTTCTGTTTGGTTTCTTAAATTACCATGTTTATAAAGGCACATCAAAGAGATCATACTGAGAATCTGTCTCAGAACTGCAGTTCTGCTCTGGTTTTGTAGATGATGAGGATTCGTGATAGCATAGGAGTGGATTCAGACCAGCCATTCTTCACATAAAAGAAAAAACTCATGTGGTTAAGCATGTGTTTTATTTTTCTAGGTATCACTTAGGCAGGTTTATGTTCATTTTCTATGTATTCGTCCATATGAGATGCTCCCCTAGAATATCTGCTATTAAACAAATTTGAGGAAAGTTCTACTCATTTTTTTTCTTAGACCCTAAAAATAATCTGAGTTATTCTACCCTTTGAACATTTTACCTTTAGTAATGATTGAATTAGTACACCCCAGACAGTAAGAAATGTACGGTGGTGTTTCTGCTATTTCTGGTGTCCAGGGTCATCATAGACTGGGATAGATGCTGATTATGGAGGGTCAGAATTTTGTGTTCTGATTTAAACTACATTTATCTTTGTCTAGATCAGAGAGGATTTTTCTCTGCATGAGCTGTCAGCCACAAAGCAATAGGGTTATGTCAGCCTGTGGTCACTGCTGACTCTCTTGACAGGCCTGTCTCTTCTACTAGTCTCAAAGGAATTCTATATTGCAAAAGAATAATATGTATATTTCTTAAGTGCCTTCACTGAGTGCAGAAGATTCGGGCAATTCAGAGATGTTCTATCTTCCTGCCCTGGATTTCACACTAGGCTTGCAAGCTGCCATTTGGAGGAAAAAGCCAGCATAGAAGCCAAGGCCAGATGGATGAAACCTTGGCAAAAAACAAAGCTGAGCTTCTGCCTTTGAGTCTCTGCCATCTTTATCCTTTTTCTCTCTCAGAGTTTTTTTTGTTTTTTTTTTTTTTTTGACAATCACCAAGTACCTGACTTCCAGGATCAGCCTTTAAAATCCTGTCCCTCATTTCCATATCTCTCCGTATCCCTTCTCTTTCTCCACTCTCCTTTCCCCATGTGCCAGAAAACAATCTGTACAAAAGATTTCAATCACAATCATTAATATGCATTTACTATATGCTAGGCATCGTGTTGAGTAGTTCATTTGCATCATCTCATTTAATCTCCATCATCACCCTATTGCGTAGATATTATTACAATCTCCACGTACAAATGAGAACATTGAGACCCAGAGATGTTATATAACTCGTCCAGATTTACACAACCAGTAAAACAGAGCCAGGATTCAAACCTGGGTCAGTTTAACCTGACTACCTAGCATTTTTAACTTTTAAGACTTTTTAAGACAGGCTTCCCAACAAAACAGAAATGTAACATGTTATTTTTAGAACCATCTGAACGCTCAGATTTATATGTTTAGCTCTCTTTGAGCTGTGAGGTAGATCTGTAGCTGAAAGATGTTGTCAGCTTTGGTTGTTTCCATGCAACTGAGAACAAACTGAGACGAAAGAGACACAGAATGAAGCCACGTGAGGTTGGTTGGCCGCTGGGTGGTTCTCACCGCTCGCCTCTCGTCATTTCCCCGACGCTCACGTCAAGCAGCCTCCCGGTCATTGTCTGCACAGCATCTTGTGTCACAAGTGCCTTTGATATCACTGCGACGTCTCCATTTCCTCCTCCCTTTCCCTTCTCTGGTGTCAGGGAAGCCCGTTGCAAATCACCACCATTCCTGAAAATCCTTAACCCTCTACTGCCTTCCTGGAGCATGGGTTGTTTTTTTTTAATGCTTTCCCTTCCTTGAAGATTGACTTGTTTAGACAGCCTTTAAGCTGAATCATCAGTTCCAAGTCCTATGAGATACTGATTAGTGTTTTAAAGA